TCGTCATTGGTCTCCACCTGGATATCCAGCCATTGACCGCAACTCTTTGAGTGCAACCATCCAGCCAATTCCTTATCCACCAAGTGGCCCACACATCAAATCCATGACTCTCCATTTTAGAGACAAGGATGCTGTGCGGGACAGTATCAAAAGCTTTGCACAAGTCCGGGCAGATGACGTGAGTTGCTCTTCTGTTATCCACCAATGCTGTAACCCTGACATAGAAGGCCACCAAGTTCGTCAGGCACAGTTTGCCCTTAGTGAAGCCATGTTGGCTGTCACCGATCTTCTCTCTGTTTTCCATGTGCCTTAGCATAGTTTCCAGGAGTCTCTGCTCCATGATCTTGCTGGGCACAGAGGTGAGACTGACTGGCCTGTAGTTCCCCAGGTCTTCCTTTTTTCCCTTTTTAAAAATGGGGGTTATGTTTCCCCTTTATCCAGTCACTGGGAACTTCACCAGGCTGCCATGACTTTTCACATTCTATACATAGTGGCTTAGCAACTTCATCTGAGAGTTTTCTCAGGACCCTGAGATGCATGTCTTGAGGTCCCATGGACTTGTGCACAGTCAGGTTCCTTAGATGGTCTCAAACCTGATCTTCTCTAATGGTGGGCGGTTCTTCATTCTCCCAGTCCCTGCCTTTGGATTCTGTGAATTGGGCAGCTTGGCTATTGCACTTGCTGGAGAAGACTGTGGCAAAAAAGTTGTTGAGTACCTCAGCCTTCTCCATGTTGGCTGTAGCCAGCTTTGTAAAGTTGTACAGTTTCTTTCATCTTCCTTTATTGTCCTATGTACCTGAAGAAAACCTTTTTGTTATTTTTTTATGTCTCTAGCCAACTTCAGCTCCAGCTGTGCCTTGGCTTTCCTGATCCCCTCCCATGCACTTCCAGGGTGCATCTCCACCGAATGTGCATCCCTGCCTCCACTGCCTATGCATTGTGTGTCCTCAAATTCCCAGGATTTTTAATTGGGACTTAAAAAAAATTATTGGCAGCCAACCTTTGTGAGGCCTTTTCTGTTTATCACTCATATAAACATTTTCCCATATTTCCACCGGTTAGAATTCTTTGATAAATCATGGTTCCCTCGTAAAGACCTTGATTTTGGTAGTGAAGTCTTTGGATACTTTGTCCTCATTAAGTATATTTGGGCTTCTTCTTCCAGCTGACCTTTTGCCATCTCTACCTGCAAGTAAGAGCACTTGCAGCCTCTAGTAAGAAGGACAAAACTGCATGGTCTCTATAATGACTGAGTTATCCAGTTAGTTGACCAGAGTGTGTCAGGAAGCAACAAGGGCTTGCTGCTGTGCAAGGGAAGGCAAGCCAGGAGCAAAGGGTGACAACAATTTTAGAAATGGTCTCATTCATATCCTCAGGCTTGCATGGAATAATTATGGGAGCGCTTGCAAAATGCGTCAAGGTCCAATTTTGCTGCTTAAACCCATCTGCTGTAGAAATGCTGGTTCAATAGGTGCTAAGGAGCATAAAACAAGACACAGGAATTTCTAGAGATGCCCAGAATTCGGAAAATGGGATCCCTCTGCACACAAATGCATTGTACAATTTCAGAAAGAAATACCAAAAGAAAGACTAAAACAATCTTGGAATAAGCAGTTCCACTAAAAGCAGTTAAAGCTTTGGAAAAGTGTTCCAAATATGTAACAAACCAACAAGACCCACTCAGCTGTTTTACAGGGTGATCCTCCAAAGGACAATAGCTTGAAGAGAAGTAGCTAAACCTATTAACGGTATTGTTGATTTCAGTAATGTCCTTTCAAGCAAGTGTGTTAAGTACAGAAAGACTCTAGGAGAGATTAATAATGAACAGTGGAGTACTATGACTGAACCAGGATAAAAATAGACTAAACCAGGATAGAAGGAAGACTGTGTCAGTACTGGAGGACACATATCTGTCCAGAAATCAATTTGTTTCCAAAATGTAACCCTACAATGCATAATTTCAATTGGTAAATGTGACTGATGTAAAAACCAGCATCTCCTTTGAAGAGATCTATCAGTATAATAACAAAATAGAACATTTAGAAGACTTTTTTCCCCACACAAACTCTCACGAAGTATTAAGAAGCCAATGTTAATAGTTCTCTATAAGATTCATTGGTCCTAGAAAACATGAAGAGTTCAAAAGTTTTTCTTCAATGTCTCAGGTATTAGAATGCTCTCATAGGTGTAATGATTATTTATCCTAAATATAAAGCTTATTTGTTTTATCAGAAGGGAAAGACAGAACTAGTAGATTTGTTTTGCTGCATAAATTGTTTAATTTACATTATAAGAACTTGCTGTTTATGTGGCATAAGAATCGATCATCAATTGCCATTACTAACTACTGATTTTTATGTCACTGATGTTTGTAACAAGATGTGACACATTATTTATGTATTATAAGATACTAGAAAGCTAGTAGACTGGCTTGTAATTTTAAATATACTAATAGGCCATATTCAAAAAAAAGGAGGAGGTCCCATTACATCTTCAGTTTTAAGACAGTAGGTAACCTCTACTTACGTGTAGTTTTCTCCTTATTCTTAACAAATCACTCCCACCTTGTGCGATGGATGTCATTACCAAGAGGGACTGTCACACTTCCAGAGCTGGCATAACATAGCAGACATGTCAATCAGCACACTGTCATCAAACACGAGTTTCTGAACTTGGCATTAAGTGCCATTATCTAAGCTAGGGGTACGGGAGACAAAACGATGAACTCACAGTCCTCACAACCCAACTTAGACATAATTGCTCAACCCTACTGCATCTTTTACAGATGAGTATTTAAAGGAGGTTTATCTGGAAGAAGTATCCTTCCACATCAAGGGAAACCAAGTTTCACTGATCATCCCGATGATAAAAGCCTCTTCAAAACTCAGCAGGCAAGGTGTATCAGATCAATGCCATTCCACTGTTTAGATCTGGTGAACACAGTTAATCCTTACAGCCAGCCACCCACAATGACATCTGGATACTGGATTTAATGCAGGACCTTTATAAGCACCAGTTTGAACAATCTTCATTAAAAAAAACATTCAATTGAAACTTGGACTATTTCCTCCTAAGGAAATCTTCAGACAATTACAAAACTCAGTGGGAGATCTCAGTATTGGATAGCCCTGAGGAAACTGGACTTGTTTAGCATGAACATCTGCAGATTATTCGTAACTGCGGATTATTCATAACATAGGAATATATTAATAGTTGGTTATTCATAATTCATAACCCAAAATGTATACAAACCTCAAGTACTTTTAAAAAGACCTCCAGGTTGTATCAAGCTTACAAGTTGTAACTGAATAGCACCGAGACATTTGGCTGAAGTAATCTAAGGTCATAGGTCAAACCGATATCCCAAACTGTTGGTTGTTCTTCACAAGTCATTGCTCAAAACATTCCTCCCAGGCAGATGAAGCCCAAACATAACACTGTCTTTGCCTGAAGGGCACCAAGCGTCAATGAGCAAGACAATTCAAGTCGAAGTCAGTGATGTTACTAACCTCTATTCATCATTACCTCAGTGAAGTTGTAAACAAACTTGATACATGCGTAAGGATATCCGGTTAACAGCTATTCAATGTAAAAGACAAGACAATGAACAGGACAGGTGATAAATGAAGCACATGGATACATAAAGCCTGACAGCAGAAATCCAAGACTAGAGCTCTAAGACACAGGTTGATGGGCCATTAAAGGAACCACCCAAGTGTAACTTGGAAGAGATTCAACCAGGAGCTATGGTCGGTTATCAGGAAGGGTCTCACAGGCAAGAGCAAACTTATTTTAAGATCCCTGAAGTGGATTGCAGGACCACATAGAATGTATCATAGGATGTCTAGGGGAGCAACCACAGATGCCAAGGCAGGGGTGAAGATGGGTCAGGGAGGAACAAGCATGGGAAAATGGGATGGGGAGTGAGAGTGTTGATGAGTAGGGGTAGGCAGAAGAGCTACCAACTGCATGCAAGCAGGCTGCTGGTCAGTAACCTTTGTCTGGCTGAGACATATGACTCATCAGCATAGTGTGTTCTACACTTTTATTAATTAAACACTATTGCTGCCTGTTTTCTGTATCATTATGCTCCTTACTCTGTGTACATACGTGTATGTTCCAATAGCAACCCTAACTGGGAATAGCCAGCAAACAGGCGAAACCCAAAATCTGTAGATACCCTAGGTCCAGGGTTGAGACTGAACAAGATACCCAAGGTCTGGACATAGAGACCAAAGAGACTTAAGGTCATGGGCAGAGACTGGAGAGACCAGAGAATGTGAACATGTACTTAAGTCACTGAAAGCATATACATATGTTCCACTAGCAAACTTTAAGCAAGTAGGAACAGCATCAGGCCACTTCTTTCTGTTCTAAGCAAGTGCATCTAAGGGCACTGTCCTCCTGTTTATGTTAATCTGTTCATTTATGGTCATGTCTGTAATATGTAGGCCTATGCGTGCATCTTTGAAATTCACGCTTAGCCTTACTATTGGCTGGATGTGTGAACAGGGACAAGCAGAGCCCTGCACCATACTGTCCACGAGATGCGGCAATCCTTAACAAAATGATCCATTACGGTTCATCCAATTTCATTTGCTACAGAATACATGAAAGCTGCACCATAAAGAAGCCCAAGGACAGTAACTTGACCACTAGTTTTTTAATTGTGCTATCCTGCTGGCTGCTTTTCTACTGAAAGCCAAAGTATCTGTCAGATCCACAGACAGAACGGCAAACAACTGTCACCTGTGGTTACTTGAAATTCCTCTGACACTTCTCAGTCCTTCAACATAGACATGGCACCTCTATCTAAGTGCCTATATCTACTGCTTTAGTGGAACATCTTCTGTGTGGTTCAAGACAAGCAAAAGTCCTTAAGTAGCCAGGCAGGTAACAGTTTCTGATGTAGACAGCAATGATACCACTAAGAGGTCATCCAAAGAAGTTCAGTAAAGACCAGAGTTAACAGGGCAGAATCAAATTTCAAATATATTTTAACTCAAGCAGACAAGCTCCTCCCAATCCCTCAGTTAAAAGTAGTCCTGTGTATTCGAACATGTCTGCCCTCTGACTGGAATGACTTGGTGAGAAGTACAGCAGGTTCTCGCATCTCAGCATAGGCACTTTCACGTAGGCTGCACCTTTGCCTGTTGGGGCACATCAGTCTTCAGCTGTGGGCTCCAATAACTCCTACCCTTCACGTGAAGGCAACAACCAATGTAGAAATTTCACTGTAAAGAAATAAGTGGTTGCAAGCCCCATCTGCAATGTCACATTCAATGCACAGGTTAGAAGTATCAGCATTGTTCATGGTGTTACAGAAGACAGGTTGAGTGGGGAGACACGACGTGTGGGAGTGTTGTTGGCTGACAATGACGCAGGGAGGAAAAAGGGAGCAGCAATATCTGTGGATGAGGTTTCTCCTTGGTTGCGAAGCTGTAAGATCTGCCGCAGCAGGGCCTTTCCTTCTTCTCTAGTCTGAAAACAATTTGTAAAAAACAAAACAATACACCTATGAATGGGTGGTTTCTGGGTCAAATTCAGTATGTAAGCAGTATAAGTTATAGTAGTTTGTCATTCTATAAGGCTGGAAGCTATAAAAACCATCCTTCATTTCTTTTTTCTTCTGCTACTTAAAAATGTTAAGGTATGTAACTTTTTTTTTTTTAGTCCTTCCTCCTTTTACTCACCTGATTTGCATGTTACTTGGGTATTTCAGACAGTGTTACCATCAACCAGTGAAGCTGCCTAAACATTCCAGCAAAAAGTAGATTGGAGAAGCTTCAATTAAGCTGAATTCAGGTTCTCCAGAGTTCCAGACAGCTTTGTTAAGGATAGGCCAAACACTCTGCACTTATGGCTACTGTTTACCTCTAGGCTGAAGTTAAAAATCCAAAATTGCCCACTTACAAATACAGAACATCTCAGAATACGGAATCACAGACAAAACCTAAGTATTATTATATCCTCTGCACTGTCTACACACAGAAGATGAGAAAAAAAAAGGAAGTTATGTGCGTACCATCACTATACAGCGTGTGGGAGTCTGTGACCATTTAACCACCTCCTCACCACCAAGATTTTCAGCACTCTTAAGACTGCCATGTGGAGCCTCAAATTCTTTTATTTAGTGAACACCAATGAGACATAGTTCAATTTTACTATCTACACCATATTCCATGATTTTAGTCAATCATAAGCAGCATTAGTTATCAGGTATACCACACCACCGCTCAAGATGTGACTTGCATGGCAGACAGCACTCATTCTTTCAGTAAAGGATTTGTTCTACTCTGAGAGGAGCCAAGATCAAGGTCATAGATCCCCTAAGAAAGAAACACCAAAAATTGTGCAACTACTCACATCATTGAATGCACAGCATTTCTGAGCACATGCTGAGGCTTCATCCCAGAGCTTACACTTGAAGTAGTATTGGGCCAAGTAACGGAAGGCAGTGCTGACCTCCAGATGCTCCACTATCTCCTACAGTGAGGGGGGGTAAAAACCATCATCTTTGAGTGCTTTCCAAGGTAGTTCTACACCATATTTACTTCTCCTTTTATCCCCAAGATATCATCTTACCCCACAAGAATAGATATCCTGGATGTATTTGATATAGCACTGAGCTGCCTGTTCAGATTCATTCAGCTGTTCGTGCAGCCTAGAAAAAGAGAAAAATGGGCCACTGGAACAAAAAACTGCACTGTCGTAGACCTTCTTGGTCCATGAGAAAGAACTTACTGAACCTGACCTGGACTAAAGCCAGGTCTTTTCCTTCAGAATTTGCAAGACATGCACCGTGTACTGCCCCTCATGGAAAGAGATGATCCAGCTTGAGAAGATTTACATTACCAGGAAGGGAACTAGTCAGATATTAACTGCTAGAAGCAGTGACAACCAAAGCAGACACCTTTGCTTATTCTGTTACATTTTAAAGCTTTTAACAGACCTTTGCCATCCTATTTACTGGCTATTTCCTCCACTGCTCCTTCTTCCCCCACTACATCCCAAAAGTCTTTGTACAGCAGCTTCACCTTTCACTTGCCCTTTCTTTCCCCTTCACTTTTTCCACTTTGTATTACTTTATCCCCACCAAAAATTAGTGCTGATGTCAGAGGGTTCACATTTATTTCACATTAGATTCTTTCCCAATGTCACAACCACATACTGGGGGGGGGGGATTAAAAAAAAAAAAAAAAAAAATCAATCTATAATTTTGTACATCACCTATCATCATAGATTGCTTTAAGTTTCAATACAACAAATACAATTGCTAGCACTGCCTGCTCAAATCACCTCAGGATTCAGAGGTCCCTTGCAACCAACATTATGCTACGATTCCCTCTAGTTATCCTGAGGGAAACTTAAAGCTAAAGCTGGACACCAGAATTTGCAGTCACTACAGACCTAAAGATTATTACACAGCTCCAGAAGTAATCCTACCCTAACAGCAATTCCGTCTGTTTTACATTTAGTATTTTATCATTAGATATCAAAGTGCTAGTTGCATGTAACACAATATTGACAGTTCAGTGATAATACGCACTCACTTTGCTAGTTTCACCAGTGCCATTTTCTCCACATCTCCCACAGCATAAGCTCTCCAATAGCACTGTCAAGGAAGGAAAGCCAGTCAAGCACACCACAGAAACAACTCTAGCTCATGACTCATGCAAGCAAGTTAGAAACAGAAAACAACATGGCTTTCAGCAAAGGGGCATGTATCATCTGTAGACGACTCTTTCTATTTATCAGCTGCTCTAGTTACGTTGCAGCAGAACTTCCCCACTTGTAACCACCACAGAAATGGTTTCAATAAGCTCCTAAAAACACACCGCATGCATTTCCAGTAGCACTAGCTACGTAATTTTGCTGCGATTCCACCTAGTGTCCTGGGAAACATCCTAATGTCTTACTCCACACATCAGTTCTCACCTTTTTAGCTTCCACCAACTGATTGAGTTTCTCATAGCATTCTCCTAGAGCAACCAGCATACGAGAATCATTTGGTCTGTAAAAGAGCAATTCCTAAATGTAGTTCAATGGACAACCAGCTGATCTCAGGGTGGGGTGGGGGAAAAAAAAAAAACAAAAACCTACATCTGGCAGTGCCTGTCATCCTCTCTTACATAAAACATCACTTATACTCCTGACCGGCATTACTTGGCATTTAACTGACAAAGCCTTTGTTAATAGTTAACTAACACAACTAAAAGGATTTGGAATAGTGAGACTGCACAGATCACATAGCATTGATGCTTTCCCTTCCCCAACTTAGTTCCTGCGTGTAAATTCCTTAGCTAGTAGCAACCATGTCAGAGTGAACACCAATAAACATGGATCCGTTCTCAACTCTACCTGAGCTGGTGGGCCCGTCGATAGTAATAAAGACAGTAAAATGGCATTTTGAGGATTTCATAGGTTTGCCCCAAGCCATACCATGCTCTGTAGTCCCTTTTGTTCACCTCTATTGCATGTCTGTCAAAGAAAAGGAGATTAACTAGTCAGAAAGCAGTCAGGATCAAAACCAAGACAGAGTTCAGCAGAAGACTAACAAAAAATAGAAGATACTACTTCAATCCTTATGTATGCAGACTGACATAATTTTGTGCAGTACATGAGTGATACCTATAAGCCTGGATAGCTGCAGATGTGTTCTTCATTTCCATGTACTCATGTCCCATGAGTGTCCAGGCTCCCAGATAACGAGGATTCAGTTTCAAGGCCCTCTGGAAATAAAGTGCTGCTTTTTCATGCTGGGAACGCAAGCTATAATAATTCCCTAAAGCAAAAGTCACAATATTTAAATAAGTTCAAAAAACCCCACAAACAAACAAACAAAAAAAACCAGCAGAGAAGTAGGAAACAGATGGAAGAGGTATTGTCTATTACCTCCTAACTTAAATTATAGAAAGAAAGAGTCCTATTAAAGGCAGATCTGATTCAAACCTCAAGAGACCTAATAGCAGTCTGTTCTCCAGTGTTCTGGTCAATCCGTTTCTGGTTATATCAATCAATTAAGATCCCATCCCTCTGGCCTTATGTCATGATCTAACAACTCATTTCCTGGTCCTGACACACAATTATTTCCACTGGAGTTTCAAGACTATAAATAAAGCGATTATCAGCTACATGGGCGCTCGTAATGATTTCTTCAACTCCTTTCTGCACTGATAGTATTACAGCAGCTCTTTCAGAGAGAAATGAGGGAAAAGGGTACTCTGATATTTGGTCTGTTTTTTTAGGCTGCCTGAAACCACATTGACCAAGTGGTTTTGATAGCCTTGCTGGCTGATAATTTTCACAAGTGTTTCTAAGATTTCCTCACACGGCCTGCGGACAGCATAATAAGAACATGTAGAAGAGCTGGCTCTCACCAATTACACAGCAGGTCTCAACACGATACTTGTCTATCTCACAGAGATTGTGAGCCAGGTAGCTCAACTCAGGCTTCATGCTCTAGTGAAACAAAGAAATGAAAGTGAAGAGAAAAGGAGCATGTTACAGTTTCAAAGAAAACCTAGGCAGTTAGCAATGCATACATCGCACCTATTTCATGGAGTTGCGAAGCGGAAAGCAGAAGCTGAAAGCCTATATTCAGAGAGGCTAGACAGCAGCAACTGCTTTGCCAGTGTTTAACATACCTCTGATAAATACCATCATTATGGACAGGCAATAGAAAGCGTGCTTACCCTTACATATAGCAAGTTGGAGAAAGTGTCCATGTTTTCTATCCTGTAAGGATCTTGTTTCCTTAGCTCGTTAAAGATGGATAAAGCTTTGTCAATATCTGAAGAAAGAACAGCAGATGGGAGAACAAGAACTATAAATGCCAAATTTGCATTAAGAGGCTCATTCCTACTAGCTAGTAAGTGTCACTGACCTCGGATATTGTGGTAGGCAACTGCAATCTGAGAGATGATGTAAGTGCTTTTGGAAAATCCTGCATCAATGAGACTCTGATACTTCTGCAGAGCCTCCTCTATCAGCTGCAGCTCTGTATAAATGTGTGCAAGAAAGAACTCTTTCATCCACGTATCTGGCAAGGACAGGAACTTCAACTAGCAAGAACCAAAGAAGAGGAGGAAGAGATGACAATCAGTAGTATTCTAACCGCCACCTGTGGCAAAGAATCCATTATCTTCCCTCCCATGATTTAGTAGATGGTCTCGAGGTAGGAGGCTTTCCTGCAATCGCTTTCTTAAACCATAACACCAGCTACAAGAGAGCAGTATTAGGACCAAGAATTAATATCAGGTTCTTCCAAAGGAGAGACTAAATAATGCCTATAATTGAGAATATTGAAACAGGAAAGGAGCATTAAGACATCCAGTCTAAAAAGCAGTACAACATGGCCCACGTAATTCTATTTAGTCACTCCCAATCTATTCCCATGACTGCTGAAATTGCAGCAGAATTGAAGCCATTTCATTTGGTCAATCAGTGAAGGAATTATTGTCTCCAAATCTGACAGCACCTGACTTCTGCTTCAGCCACTGGCCTTATTTCTCCATTAAATTCGTAAGTCCTTTGGAAGTCCTTTCTTCCCATGTTTGAACATCAATATCACATCACTATTTTTAATAAGCTAAGTGAACAGACTCCAAATAATCTCATCAAAAATGCACTTCCCTTTTTCTACAAATCAGTAAAGCTCTCTTCTGTGTCACCTCTACTTTTTAAAATATTCCACCAGCCAGAATTGACTGAAAAATTCCAGGAGTGGTCTCATAAAATCCCACGCATAAAGAAAAATAATCTATTTTGGTTTTATACCTAAGTTCAATTCTTTGATACAGTTCATCTCATACGTGCAGCTTTGTATTTGACAAAGGGAACACCTACATTAGTGTTTTAGTTTTAAAAGCAGTGATTCTGTATATCCTTTCAGGCCACCAAAAATGCTCAATAACTGTGGAACTATAACCAGATTAAGGAATTAAAAAAAAAAAAAAAAAAAAGAAAATGAGAAGTATCTTAGGAGGATCTCCTTCATGTGACAAGGCAATGACTCTGCTGACAACTACTTCAGAATATGTGAATTAGCCATTTCTTAAACCACTTTGTGGGTGAATGATAAGAAATTAGCCCTGCCTGTATAAAGATTCTCAAGCTACAGCACGGCAAGCAATTGAAGAAAAAGAGGCTTTAACAACATAATTTACAATCTTGGATCGCCTTGCCTGATAAGAGTCTCACAGAATAAAGCAGTGGGTGACATAATCTTGTTGCAACTGAACCATTGGTTACTGTATCAGGTTAAACTCTGAAATTTGTTACCACATCTTGGTATCTCCCAAGTTTTACCATCTCTTTATCTGTAATCAAGTTGCAAAGTTCCAGCCAGGCTCCCCAGTGCAAAGGTAAGACATGAGCAGCTTCAACGAACACATCTATTGCTTCTTTCACCAGGTCCAGCTTCCGCAGCACGACACCATACCTGTAAAGAGAAGTTATCAAGTTAATCAGAATCATAAAACGCTGCATATCCACACAAATACACATGAATATATTAGAAATACACGCAGACACTTACAGATAAAGGCCAAATCCATCCAGTTCCCGTGCCTTGTGTTTCTTGCTGAGCTCAACTCTCAATTCTCGTAAAGCTTCATTTTTCACCTGTCCTTTTTCCAGAGGTCCTGCATGAAGAGAAAGTCAAACAGCTAGCTTTCAGTCAAGACTCTTACCACAGCAATTATGAAGTCAAGGGTATATTCAGAATCATCACTGACATGACCTGAAGGCTTCCCAGTCTGTGATTATTTTCCTTTTTTTTTAAAAGAAAATCGCTTAGTCTGATCACCTGCTTTAACAGAAGAACTAATAGATGAAAATCTGTAGCGTGTATTAAGCCAATGAATTGAGAGAGAATGAAAGAAATCGTGTTACAGCACACTATTATCCAAAAATTGAGGGGAAAGCCATAAAACCAAGACAATTTACATGAAGAGGCATTACTGGAAGCTTCATTATATTGTCTTGTGTTCCTTGACACCAGAGACTTACCCAAACTATCCACTGTCTCATCATCCTTCTTCTTTTCCCCTGACTGTGGAAAACAGAGGAAACCCAAGATTACATTACAATTGCATATTCCTTACGTTTGCTGCAATGCTAGCAGCAGTATGCAAACTGAGTTTTCACAAACATCATAGTTCTAAAAAGAACACCCCTATCTCCCTTCCCCCCAAACATATAATTTGGATTTCTAGATGGTCATTTGGAACAGAATAGGCGAAAAATAAGGTATGCCAGGGAGGGGTGGGAAGCAGAGGAGTTCAGTGCTAAAAGACGACTTTTCCTTCTATCTTACCAGGTATCTAGAGTACATGTACAAGAAGTAAGCTTTCTGACTCTTGCAGCCCCGCAGAAAATAGGCAGCCCTGTCATATTCCTTTAGGTCAAAGTAAGACTTGGCTAACGTATAGGCATCCAGATCACGAGCATCCTCCTGCAGGGACACAGAAGAGTTTAAGACCTCAGAAGCTCTGACATGCTTTAGGAAAATCCCTAGTTACAGACATATCAATGAAACTGCTCTGAAAGCTAAAAACATAGTTTATTCATCCTCAAAGATGTTTTGAGTACCATTAGTCTCTCCATTCCCTCACATGTTCTGATTCCTAGTTCTCAAATAATGAGTACAGACTACTTAGAAACATTTAAAATAAACAGTAAGAATCCAGAAAACAAATTGTGGCAAGCTGCTAGAAGGCATGAATTAGCTGTTCAATGAGTGTGCATGACCATAAATAAGAAACCTTCTCAGGAATTCCATATCAAACAATATTAACCTGCTAACTTAAATGCAAACATTTCCTTGGTAACAATGCCTTGAAATGCATTTATGACACGTTACACTGCTGTAATTTAATAAAACAGGCATATACATAAAAGTCCTACTGTACACCTATGGAGGTGGGGATGGAGATACAACTTGTTTCTCTTGTGTCCTAAGGAGCACAAGTTTAACGGCACAAGTTTAATGGCACAAGTTTAATTTGTATTACAATAAATTTTGGCCTTAGTAAAGACTAATAAAAATTGAAATTAAGTAGCATGCAGAGCAATCTCATTTAGGGCACAGCAACGCGTAAAATGGAATGCTTTCATCTGGGAAAGCATATTCAGCTCTGTCCACACCATTAAATATAGAACGGAAGGGAACTTTACAGCATTATAGAACAATCAGCACGCAGCACAGCCTCCTGCACGTACGTTTTCAAAAAGATCGCTATCACGTTTTTTTCCTTAATAGTTATAGATAGGATTAAAAAGCAGCCCGCGAGCCCCGCCAGCAAGAACTACAGCACTTTCC